AGATACCCACCATTCTGTGCAGCCGCGTCCAACTTCCAGGGTCTGCAGATCGATAGAGGTGCTGCCAAGCAGGGGCATGGCACTCTTTCGGGAGAAGAATTTGGAGTGTTGTTTTACGTCTATTCGCAGAGTACAAAACTCCAACTCCTGTTGTCTGATGGCGAAGTCAAAGCTGAAAGGTAGGGACGGAGGAAAAGTGGGTGAAAAATAGACAGAGTTGTGTGCAACCGTGTTCACCAAACTATAAGACGTCAATCAAAATAATGGCGATATTCTGGCAGGAAAAAGGGTGTGCTAGATTGTTGTACTTGCTATATTTCAGTAGCATTTATTTATGCAATGTTACTTTAGTCAGTTAATTACGTCGATCATGTTCACCAATTTAAAATTAACGTCAGTAAACATAATGGTGATTCTCTGATGGGCTAAGAGGTGTACTGGGGCACACACACACGCACACGCATGGCAGGTGTGATGGGTAAAACCGTTCAAAACGACTGCCCCACCAAATTTCGAAATATCAAAAATGCGCGATTGACTAACGCAAGTAGACTTGCAAGTTAAATGGTAAACGGTCTTTAGGGACATGTGGACAACTTTGGACATGAAACAGTTCCACTAGGGTATCACAGATAAAAAAGAAACAGGAACAACCAAAACGGATGTTTCTGGGTTGATTGGTCTCGTCAGGGAGTTACACTTCAACCCCAAACACGAGGTTAAACCACAGGGACGAGCAGGAGGTAAGTGCTCTACCATTTGAGTCATAGGCCTTTGCGCCAGGGTTGACGTATGGCTAGCTGGTGATGGCATATTAGTTAGCGAAATGATCGATCCAGTAAGCGTCGAGAACTAACAGCTAGCCTCTATGCGATCGACCCGGTTAGGAGTTGATCGTCAGTTAGAAAGGAAATGAACCTGGCAAATACCCCGCCGATGAGCACCGCTTTATAATTCACGCCTTGCATAAGTGCTTTGGATGAAAGTATTTGACGACGTACTTTTTACTCCCTTGCATCCCTGTACTTAAACCAAATTCTGCACTAGGCATGCAATTTTTTGCATAAATCTGCTAACAAAAGAGATTTTTCGCCTATCTGTACAGATCTGACGCACAAACCCTTGAATTTTTTAATGTAGCATGCTCCCAGTTTTTACTTTACCTACGTTACATGTAAGCAAATAGGAAGTTCAAAGGTAGCAACACCTAAATTCCTTCCAAACGAACTGAAATGAATTCACGTGTTTTAATTTAACTGCCTTCACATGAGAATGTACTGGTCTGGTGATAAGTTACTTAAATCGAATGTACAGTAGAGCTCAAAATTCGTGAAACATGGCGACAGTTGCGAAAGACTGATGCTCACCCGCCAATCAGCATTTAGTAAGGTTGGTTGTAATACTGATTATCTTGTAGGCTATTATCAATTCATTTCAGTCGCAATAGGGTGCTGGCATTTTAACGAGCTTCCTTTTGACCGCTAACAAAAAGTATGCACTGCAAAAAATGGCCACTTAGGTAGTATGCATTTTCATCATTGATTATGCCTGCCTTTATAATTTCAAATATATTTTATGAAAAACATGCACAAAAAATTCTTTACTGTACTCCTTAGTTAGAAAATTAAGTCTTCTATAAATTTTATACTTAAAGAAAGGGTATCCTTCGGTTTTATAAAAATGTCTTATTATGAGCTTTTTTACGATGTGAAGTGTTCGTTCATAATACATCGTATCCATCAAGTAATTAATGCTGCCCCTCATATACACAGCATGATCCATATCTATTTCGAAATTCTATGAGACCTATGCAGCCATTTTCTCAAACGTAGGCAAGAACGGTGCATTCAGCTTGTAAAACTTGAATTCAGTTCTAGCAGTCGGTAGGCAATTTAGAAACTTTTAAAACCGAAGGAAACCCTTCCTTTAAGAATTAAATTGAAAGGTGTAATTTGCTATCAAATAAGTACAAGAGAGGCCTTTTTCGTGCATGCTTTCCATAAAACATATTTGAATTTATAAAGGTAGTCAAGATCAATTACCAAAATGCATGCTATTTAAGTAGCCATTTTTTACAGAATCAAGTTTTTCGCAGCGGTCAGAAGGAAGCTTATCACAGAGTCGGCATCCCAGCGTTACTGAAAATAACTGAAATTTGACTGCATGATAAACAGTATTGCAATCCTACTCAATGTTGTTTTGCGAGTGATTACCGGTCTTTTTCAAATTGCGCAAACGCATACAGCATGATTCACATTTATTACAACATTTTATGAGAATTATGTGACTTTTTCCTCAAACGGTAAGCGAAAACGTACTTCTCCATAAACAGGATGTATGAAACGCGCAGTTTGTAAACCTTCAATTCAAGTGTAGCAGTCAGTAGGTTTAAAAAATATTCGGCAACTGAAACACTTTTTTGAAACCGAAAGATACCCTTTCGTCAAGTATAAAATTTATGGAAGGTGTATTCTGCTACCAAACTAGTACAATAAAGAATTATTTGTGTATGTTTTCCATAAAATATATTTGAATTTATAAAGGCAGGCAAAATCAATTATTAATACGCATACTACATAAGTTGCCATTTTTTGTACATACTTTTAGCGGTCAGAAGGAAGCTCGTTAGAAAGCTGGCATTCTATCGTGACTGAAATGAATTGAGAATAGGCTCTAAGATAATCAGTATTACGAGCCTACTAGATGCCAAATAGCGAGTGAGTATCACTCTTTCGTAAATTTCGGCATTTTGTAGGAATTCAAACGGTCTTCTCGACCACTAACCAACTGCTCAACACATGCTCAACACATGCTCACACTGAGAACACAAATTCCATGGCAGGATCGTTCCGGCTGAACGCCTCCAAGTTCAATCTGTAAGTCTCCACAGCCTCAGACCGCGTAATACATTTGTTGGCCCACAGGTAACAGTCCAGAAAAGGCTTACAAGGATGAGTAATCAATAGTCACAAAGATCAGACAACCATATAATCCGGATGTGTGTCTGTCTGCCCAATTGGCGACAGCAACCGTTTTAGGGAACTACTAGACGCAAAAACAGTGTTTAACAAGTGACTAACGACAACGAATTTAGCGACAGTGGCGACTAACCTCTCCTCGAAAACGGGACTGAGTTCACCGTAGACTACCTTGGTCTTCTTTGAGTCATCCAGATCAGAATGATTGGAGTGAAGGAGGAGCAGCTTCACATAGGCATCGGCGGTGCCGTGTTTGTTAACCCCAGTCAGGCCTCTACATAGAAGAAAAGAAAAAAACCGTTCAGGGGCCAGGAAAAAAGACCCTATTTGTGGTAGAAAAGGGGAATGTGAAACAAGAAACAGAAGGGCGTGACTTGGACGAGTGGGTGCTAGATGGTAGCACTAATTCGCCAGGTATACATTTCTCCATGCGATCAGATAAACTATATTCAATGATACTACTCGTAATAAGCGAGTAGACGTTTGTGTTAACTATCCGGTTGCATGTTGAATTGAATTGAAGTTGAATTCACATAGTTAACCATCAAAATGTTCCGTGTAGAAGCCTTCGAAACTTCAAGCGATTTTTCACATTCATGTGTTTCAGCGTTTTGGCTGCCTTTTTCGATGATTTCCAGTTCATATAACGACTGACAGACTTCATTTCGGATCCGTTGTATGGCAAAGACTAATGGGTGAAAGTTTAATGTAGGGCCCCAAGCAGCTTATTTAAATAACCGGTTATATGCGTGCGATAATTAAAATAGCCCAAAAGTACCCAACTGGATATAATCGTTGACTCTGTATAGAGATGGTATGGAGTTTTAAGGCTTAGAAGCTACCTCTATATCATGTCTACCTAACCTCTATATAAACTCCATATCTTCTCTATACAACTCTGCAGAAATTATATAGAGTTGACTTGGTGGTCTGCACTAATAAGTTAGACTGGTTGCGAACGGCCGGTAGCAACGGCAGGACCAGTGAAACGACAACGATCGCATTTGCTAGCAGATCGTGTCTTACAGAAAATACGGCATCAAGTCTGCAGCCGAAAGCCCACAAGAGCGTGGTCGAAACGGGCGTCTTGCGGGAGTCAGGCACATGTCAGTCCGTGAACAGATGCATATACTAAGTCAAAAGTTGAAAGTTAGATCACGAGTTCATCTCATAGAGTGTAAAAAGCAGGTATTTGTAGCCCCACTATGTCTCCGTCCGACCAGTCCTTCGCTGCGGTTGTGAACGCCTAGCAGAACGCGCGAAAGATGGACGAAAACTGGAGGTATCGGACCATCGCTGCCTGAGGACTGTCCTTCGAGTGACGACTTCGTCTCAAATGAAACAGTCTGCGTTGAGGAACAGACAGACTGAAGACTAACTGAAATCGCCATTCCGGTCTTTGCTTGTCTTTGCTGGCATTGCCATATATTCCGAGCTACCATCTGGCTGAAGCCCAAAATGAATCAAAACGCAAAAAACGGAAACTTGCTCAATGCGGTGAACAGTGATCTCGAGGATCTCCAGGTCCACATTGTAGTGCAGCGTCATACGGATTTTCCCAGCTGGATTCGGTGGAGCCACGCCCAGGGGACCGCCAGAAGTGTTAGAAGTCATTGACGGCTAAAATGCGACACACACACACAGAAAACCAAAGTAACAATAGGTCAAAACCAACAGGAAGAAAGGGGTGGGGCGGGGCGGAGGCTATCAAACCTGAGGCGCAGGCGGGATGCCAGCGAAACAGCCTGATGGGATAAAAGGGGCGACATGCAACCGGTGTTCGGGTTGGGAGACAGAGGGCTGACAGCAGACCAGGGGGAGGGAGCGGTGGGG